TAAGGAGCTTACATTTTATGCACAATTACAGTCAAGTATTTAAAAAAATTCTTGAATGTAATATTGATCGATTTGCTTGCGACTTTGCAATTAACATCAATGTATGAATGATCTTTATATACAACAGTAAAAATAGTTATAGTAAGTTACTAAATGGTAATCGCAAAGTCGCAAGCAAATCGATCAATTATTATCCTTTAAGAATTTTTTTAAATATTTGACTGTGATTGGTCGATCTTAATTATGTGTTATATTATTTTATGTACACAAAATGAAAATTTTAGGTAAAAGATTAAATCATATGAAGATCCATATGCTACTGTTATCAAAATTTAATTTAATAATATAACGGCTACCATACTTAAACAATACTTTTAGCGCATGTTTCCAAAAAAAGTAACTAATAAAGTAACTATTAAAATAGTTACTAGTTACTAAAAAAATGTAACTAAGTTACAGTTACAGTTACAGATGGAAAAAAGTAACGAAGTTAAGTTATAGTTACCGAAAAAAAGTAACTGTAACTGTAACTTCGTTACAAGTAACTCGTTACTTCCCAACCCTGGTATACATATATTAATAACATATATATGTATATGTATACGTCTTTAGCATATATTAATGTATAGTAAATTCATTTTTATAATTTTCACTTAGCCCATTCACATTGCCCAATCGTTGAATCTGTTTAATATGACAATTATTGCATGTTACATTATATACATATATTTCATACATGTATATCGATATGTTCAGCTAGCCACATGTCATTCGAATATCGAGCCACGTAATATGTTTATAGATTTCTATTGAAGCGTATTGCAGTAAAAAAATTAGTCTATACTTTGATTTATATTTTATTTTATTTACTAATGTGTTAAAATAACAATACAAAAACAGCGCTAAGTATTTTTTGTACATTACATTTTTTTTACTTTTATTTTTACTTTTATTTTTAATTTAAATTAAAAATTTTATTTAACTTTAAATTTTTTTAATTTCCTAAATTTAATTCTTTGTGCCTTATATTACCTTTTTTGAATATACGTTTAAATATATTTGAATTAAATAATTATTTAGAGATAAATAATTTATTTTTATATATATCTATTTATCTAAATATTTTATAAAAATATATAATAACTTTACAATGTATATACATTCCAGTTTAAATTAATTACATAATTATTCATGTTATTTAAATATAAAGATGAATAAATATATATATATATATATTTTACTGAATTTATTTTGTTATTGTATATATTATAAACGTTTTAAAATAAAGCAATAATTATACATTTGTATCATTATAAGAAATTTATCTAAATATTATATATTATGTTGTCACTTACTTAGTGCAACTTTTTGATTTGACTACTTTTTGATGCTAATATTTTAACCTTTTTCTCGTATTATCAATATAATTATTTAGCGCAATTTTTTGATTTCACTACTTTTGATGCTAATATTTTAATTTTTTTCTAGTATTATTAACAAAATAAAATATAATTTATAAATATAATTTTTGAGAAAATATTTTTGATAATGATTAATTTTTGCAAAGAATTATTTTGGCTATAAACATAATTTTTGAGAAGATTATATTTTTTATTATTATAAAGAACTATTTTTGCTGACGAAAGATATAACTTAGCGCTTTTTTTTTACATCTGTGATGTCTTTTTTTGTGGGATTATATATAATATTTACATATTTTTAATTCGAAGAAATAGGGGTGATTCACCCTTAAAAATTAAATTATTTATTTTCCAAGGGAATAATATTATCTAAACAAAAAGAGATATAAAAAAATGTTTAAAACGAAAGTAATTCGGTTTTTCGGCACTTTATGCCTGTGCACTTCCAATTTTAAAAAAATTAAAATTTTTTTGAAATCTTTCCCCGTCCAAGTATGAAAATTTATATATTTTTGTTATTAGCAAATTGTAGAAAATTTTATAACAAATTCTATGGTATGGTACAAAATTGCCATACACTTTTTCTAAAAATCAATTTTGTTAAAAATGTGATACAAACATACATACCTCCCTCTATAAGAAAACTCAACTGGAAGAAGTATCATAAATGTTCGGCATTTAGTTTTCTTTATTATTTCTAAATAATTTAGTTTTCTCTTTATAAAGAAAAAATCATTTTTCATAAGGTGAATCACTCAACTTTCGATTGGGCAGGTATAAAAAAATCGTGTACCTTAAATTTGTATACTTTATAACATATTTCAAGGAAAATCAAATAGGTGTCGGACTCTTGTGATGGTTCCCTTGTTAGTCTAATCTATGAGTTTTAAAATTTGTCGACCTATGTAATTAATCCATTGTAAATCTGAATTAAAATACACTAAAAAAAAAATTAGAGGAATGCTTAAATTTTCCTTAAAAAATAGTTAAAATTCAATCAGCTGTAACTTCGTTAAAAATGAACGAAATTCAAATTTCAAAAAAGGTTTTATGTTTGAAATCTCTACTTTATATAAATAAGCTCCCAATTTTTAAATTTCTGTTAGTTTGATCATTTTTACACGCAGAAAACTACGACTTGGATAAAATTAGAAATTTTCTGCCTACTTTGCCGACCTACGACGTGTGTAAAAAAAATTACAAAGTCTTTGGTGTTAAAGCTTGAACTTTTTTAAAAAAAATTGTTTTTTTAAAATCTTTTTGCAATACTTGTTGCAAAAGTTCGATTTTCGATTGCTGTTTAGCGTGGAAAATGGCTTATTTCTCAACGAGTGTATCTTCAATGTATGTCTTACTTTATCATACTAGTGCGAGAAAAGCATTTTTATGATTTACTTTACCACACTAGTGCGGTAATATGAGTTCCTTTTTTGCACTAGTGCGTAAAAAACCTTGTTTTTGTTTTACCATTTCTCGACTGACATAACAAACTTGAACGTAACAAAGTTCATGCAAGACAAAACGTCAATTCGTTATAACCTTCATTATTCAAAAAGGATAAAATAGATAAAAGAAACGAGTGTTCACAAGACCATCTACGCCTCTAGAACTTATAGAAACAGCTGAATCTGCCACAAAGATTTTATTACCGAAAAATTGAGAGATAAATACATTACATTTTATATTAATAATTGTCCAAATCTCACATTTCATTTTGGCGATAAAAGATCGGCAGGCGACCCAGACAAACTTCGAATTGATGTTGGAGGCCTCATGCGGTGACAACGCGAAAATCCGGTTTCAGTGTTGCCAACGCTGAGAAACCAATTCTCGGGTTTTATGTAGTGGTGTATGTCCATACACGTATGTACCCAGTAAACACGTTTTATAACGGCAATATAACATGCGAGTTACATGTAATGTAACATTTGTTATCTTCAGGTAATATAACTGTTATATATCATTTGGTACTACAGTTATGTAACAAAATTGTGTAATTGTTACGTAATATGCTTGTATCAATGTTATTATAACTTTAGTTATATTCTGATAATATTAATAGAGTGTAACGGAATAACATAACAGTAATGCAACATCTGTTAATTTTTACTATTAACGTTTTTTTATCGGTGGATATATATATATATATATATATATAATCATTGCGTATGATATAATTATGTCGCGCCGCGAGTGCCGTGTTGTGAGTTGTGAATATATTAAAGTGCCTATATATATATATATAGCTTGTCAATGCTGTAGCAACAAATAGCACCAATAAGCCTCCGAAACATCAAATTATTGTTATAATTATATTAATTTATTTCAAATAAGAAATTAGTTTAATTATTCCTATAATTTTAATTATTTCAATTATTTCACTTTTTTAAGCTGAAATAATCCGGATTCAAGAAAAAATTTTTCTCTCGCACTTTATTTCTTTAGGGGGAATAGGGGATACATGGAATTAAAAATCTCTTGTAGAGATTATTCCAATTTTATATCTTGGCCGTGTCCAAGTAAAAATTTGGTGCCTTGTGCACAGGTATTTAATTCTAACGAAAAAATTTAGTTTCGTTTAGAATAACGCACTGTCATCCGCGATTTGGCTCTTATTGCCTATCTTATATATGTTAAATTTATATTTATATATTACAGAGCCTAGTTAAACTCTTAATTTATACACGCTGGCTTAAAGGCGTTTATTTACCAACATTAATATATATAACAAAGAAAAGTATAGAATCGAAAGGATCTGAATAGCTCAGTTGGAAGAGCAGTCGCCCGGCAAGCGAAAGGTCTCGGGTTCGATTCCCGATTCTGCGACTTTCGGATCTATATTTTTCTCTCGCACTTTATTTCTTTAGGGGGAATAGGGGATACATGGAATTAAAAATCTCTTGTAGAGATTATTCCAATTTTATATCTTGGCCGTGTCCAAGTAAAAATTGGTGCCTTGTGCACAGGTATTTAATTCTAACGAAAAAATTTAGTTTCGTTTAGAATAACGCACTGTCATCCGCGATTTGGCTCTTATTGCCTATCTTATATATGTTAAATTTATATTTATATATTACAGAGCCTAGTTAAACTCTTAATTTATACACGCTGGCTTAAAGGCGTTTATTTACCAACATTAATATATATAACAGAGAAAAGTATAGAATCGAAAGGATCTGAATAGCTCAGTTGGAAGAGCAGTCGCCCGGCAAGCGAAAGGTCTCGGTTCGATTCCCGATTCTGCGACTTTCGGATCTATATTTTCTCTCGCACTTTATTTCTTTAGGGGGAATAGGGGATACATGGAATTAAAAATCTCTTGTAGAGATTATTCCAATTTTATATCTTGGCCGTGTCCAAGTAAAAATTTGGTGCCTTGTGCACAGGTATTTAATTCTAACGAAAAAATTTAGTTTCGTTTAGAATAACGCACTGTCATCCGCGATTTGGCTCTTATTGCCTATCTTATATCTGTTAAATTTATATTTATATATTACAGAGCCTAGTTAAACTCTTAATTTAATTATTTCAATTATTTCACTTTTATAAGCTGAAGAAGAGTCATACCAAATAGACGAATATCGAGCTCCTCATCCGATGATGTCGAAAATGAAAATCAATCTAAAACTTCGAAGTGGATAAAAAAGCCACGAGACCTGCGTAAGTTATTGTAGCTATTTTATAATCTGATTTAACAAATTTTTTAAAGATTGTGATGCTTCGTCATTTATTTTTTTAATACCATTAGGAGAATCTATATAGTATATTTTTTTCTGTTTAAATCTATTTCGTAATTTGTACTTTATACTTACAGTTATTAGATTAAACTTAAAATCCCTATGAATTTCAAATCCTCATATCTCTTGTGCATTCCATCTTGAGCTATTAAGATAAAGCTGTTTAAAAATCCTTGTGCGGAAATCTCAATAATAGATTTACATCATGTCTGTAAACAGGCTTTTTTACTACACATCAACGGATATTGTATATACAACTGACAACAAAACAATCAATCGAAAATTAACTTTGAATTTTCAGGTCGAAACATATTATCAGACCTGCCACCGATTCCAAACAGCTTTGGCAAGATATCAAAATCTGCAAATTTTCAAAATTCACACGACGTCGTAGAGGCAAGAGGATCAAAAAAGCTCACAAAGTCACATATCATAAGTAAGAGTCTGAATAGTTGACTTATAATTTTAAGACAATGTTTTATGTTCTGAGAGTTTTTGTCTTTAGTAACGCGCAAGAAAAATCTAGAATACTGTATGCATACAATAAAATTATTACTTTTATTAACACTTCGTACGATTTAGATTTGAGATAAAAGACAGTATTGTACGTTACTAAAGACAAAGGCCGTATTCATAGTCGGTTCTTATATTTATAAGATCGTCTTAAGACCTCGTTCAACCAATCAAATGGCCGCATAGCATTTCTTGATTGGTTGAACGAGGTCTTAAGATCATCTTAAATATAAGAACGGACTATGAATACGGGCCAAAGACTTAAAATATAAAATACGGTCTTGAAATTATAAATCAGCCGTTCTGATCAGACCCTAATGATATCTTGTGTTGTGCTATAGACGAAGACCAACGTGACATAGACGAGGAAGCAGAAAACGTGGATGACCCATACATGACGATTCCGAGTCCGGTTGCGATGTCAGAAACTCGCAAAAAAGAAAATTTTTCTGAAGTTTCAACGCTTACTAGAAAAGCCTTTGATGGCATGGAAGTGGTGGATCGTAATCAGGAAGGTGAAACTGACTGGACTTATTGGACATTTACAAAGAACATCTGATTACTTTCGATACTAAATATTGTCTGTCATTTATTCTGATGTAGAATATTCAAGAATAATTATTCGGATGCTCGCATCGATTCAAGTACAACTACGGGAGCTTCACCAGAAAGTCGAACACGGAAAACCTATGTTTTCAGGAAATGTTGGCCTCATAGCGTCTCTTCTGCCATTAAAATCGATCGCGGAGATTGAAGTCTTTGAGAAAAAAATCCATGAAAATCCGGAAATAAAACAACAATTTGTAAGTTAATTATTTATCACAAAAAAAGGTCAAATTTTATTCAATTTGTTGCAAATATAGTAATATTTCTATTGCAGAATACATTTGTACAGAAAATTGGAGGTCATACAGCGCGTGAGGACACCCAAAGAATTTGCACAAAGATCTTCACAAATTCCTGTGCAGAGTTATGTTCATGGAAAGGACGGAAGGAAAACTTTTGCATCGAAGATCTATATATTATAAAAATAATGCAAGGTAATATAATATCCGAAATTTTAGTACCAAAAAATACCATTTTTACGTTGTTTGAGAATACAGTTACCTTTTTTTATTGTCCATTTTTGGCAGAAACATTGAATAATGTTCTTGCTGCAAACAGACAATTCAATAATGTATATAATAATTATATATAATAGTTAGGAATAAGTGTTTGCAATCATCGTTGTCGATATCGAATCGAAAAAATAACTTTTTTATATATAATTGTCTTCACGATTTCTTGCAATACTATTTGAAAAGATTACATATTTTATAGCAATTATTCGTTCCGTGGTAATATTGTGAAGAATTTTAATTTTTGCCAAAAATGTCAAATTGTTGTTGAATTTCTTCAAATTTTTGTTACAGAAAGTGTATAAATATACCTTCACAAAAGTTATATTTTAAATCTAATTTTTAACATTTTTTACTCGGTATAAGAGCAAAATATAAGAGCTGTATGGTATTTAGACTTGCAAATATGATCGGTTTTTATAAAAAACCCAAAAATTTATGCTAATTTATGCTAATCTTATTATCTAAACGTAAATAAAATAGAATGAAACAAAATGCAAAATAATTGATTACTTTTCACTTTATTCAATTGTTTATCATAAAAACTCTACTGTTAGAAGTTAACCCCATCAACCCTAATAAATCTAAATTTACTTTAATTTATTATCTAGTTTTTGTTTCACATTGTGTTTACATTTTTACATCATTAATTATATTAATTTGTTCACAGATGCTATTTTACATACATATCCGGCAACAAAAGAAATTGAATTCGAAGAGATCGTCGCAGAATGGTTCCGGTTTGCTAAACAACGACGAAATCGAACAATAGAAAAAGAGAAGAAAAGAGCAGAAAGAAGAAAGACAACGGATGAGACAAGAGAGAATGAAGCAAACTCTTAACAAGGTTAAAGATAATATAAAGACACTTGCTACTGTCATATACCGTGAAAAAATGCCTTTGTGTCTTTTGTCAAAACTCTTTTTCATATTTTTCTTTTTTTTATTCATATGAACGTTATTATTATATTATATATAGTATATCTAGTTTATTATCAGGAGACGCGGTAGCGTCTCGCTAAGTTATATCTTTCATTCGTCAAATTAAAATACAATCTACAAAAAACAAAAAAAAATATCGAATGATATCGAAAAGATAGCGAAAATATCGAAACAATAGCGAAAATTATCCGTAGGACGCTACTGTGTATCCTTTACCGGACGTAACACGATTTTCGTAACCTTGAAAACAAAAATTGGAAATATTTCATGAACGGAAACATATTTTTCAAAAGATGACCATATCAATCGAAAGCGCGATTTTTTCCGAGTAAAATGAGACCTTAACGAACTTGATAGCTCTATTGGTTGCGGAGATATGAATTTTTTAAGTTATTTTTTGGTCGAAAAGGTGTCACTTTTTTTTAAGACTACGGCGTCGTACTTGTCCGCGGTCACCCATCCCGACAAAGTGATTCTGTCCGAAGCTGCTTTACCTTATCCGCGGTCACCCATCCTAGTATAGTGACATTTTCCTCAGCTGCTTAACCTTTTAAGCAACCAAACGAAAAATAAATTCTCGCTCTCTCTCACTCTCTCTCTCTCTCTCTCCCCCCTCTCTCGCCCCTCTCTCTCCCCCCTTTTTCTCCCTTTCTCTCTTGCTTTCCCACGTCTTTTTTCGCTCTCTCTCGCCCTCTCTCGCTTTCTCTCGCTGTCTCTCGCTCTCTCTTGCTCTCTACCGCTCTCTCGCGTTCTCTCGCTCTCTGCCGCTCTCTCTCGCGTTCTCTCGCTCTCTCCCACTCTCTCTCGCGTTCTCTCGCTCTCTCTCGTCTCTCGCTCTCTCTCGGTTTTTTTCGCTCTTTCTCGCTTTTTCTCGCTGTTTCTCGCCTTCTCTCGTTCTCTCTCGCTCTCTCGCTTTCTTCCGGTCTCTCTCGCTCTCTCCCGCTCTCTCTCTCGCGCTCTCTCGGCCTCTCTCGCTCTCTCTCGCTCCCTCTCGTCTTCTCTCACTCTCTCTCGGTTTTTTTCGCTTTCTCTCGCTGTTTCTCGCTCTCTCTCGTTCTCTCCCGCTCTCTCTCGCTTTCTTTCGCTCTCTCTCGCTCTCTCCCGCTTTGTATCGCTCTCTCTCGCTCTCTCTCGCCCTCTCTCGCTGTCTCTCGCTCCCTCTTGCTCTCTGCCGCTCTCTCTCGCGTTCTCTCGCTCTCTCTCGTCTTCTCTCGCTCTCTCTCGGTTTTTTCGCTCTCTCTCGCTTTCTCACGCTGTTTCTCGTCTTCTCTCGCTCTCTCCCGCTCTCTATCGCTCTCTCTCGCGCTCTCTCGGCCTCTCTCGCTCCCTCTCGTTTTCTCTCACTCTCTCTCGGTTTTTTTCGCTTTCTCTCGCTGTTTCTCGCTCTCTCTCGTTCTCTCCCGCTCTCTCTCGCTTTCTTTCGCTCTCTCTCGCTCTCTCCCGCTTTGTATCGCTCTCTCTCGCTCTCTCTCGCCCTCTCTCGCTGTCTCTCGCTCCCTCTTGCTCTCTGCCGCTCTCTCTCGCGTTCTCTCGCTCTCTCTCGTCTTCTCTCGCTCTCTCTCGGTTTTTTTCGCTCTCTCTCGCTTTCTCACGCTGTTTCTCGTCTTCTCTCGTTCTCTCCCGCTCTCTCTCGCTTTCTTTCGCTCTCTCTCGCTCTCTCCCGCTCTCTATCGCTCTCTCTCGCGCTCTCTCGGCCTCTCTCGCTCCCTCTCGTTTTCTCTCACTCTCTCTCGGTTTTTTTCGCTTTCTCTCGCTGTTTCTCGCTCTCTCTCGTTCTCTCCCGCTCTCTCTCGCTTTCTTTCGCTCTCTCTCGCTCTCTCCCGCTTTGTATCGCTCTCTCTCGCTCTCTCTCGCCCTCTCTCGCTGTCTCTCGCTCCCTCTTGCTCTCTGCCGCTCTCTCTCGCGTTCTCTCGCTCTCTCTCGTCTTCTCTCGCTCTCTCTCGGTTTTTTTCGCTCTCTCTCGCTTTCTCACGCTGTTTCTTGTCTTCTCTCGTTCTCTCCCGCTCTCTCTCGCTTTCTTTCGCTCTCTCTCGCTCTCTCTCGCGCTCTCTCGGCCTCTCTCGCTCCCTCTCGTCTTCTCTCACTCTCTCGGTTTTTTTTCGCTTTCTTTCGCTGTTTCTCGCCTTCTCTCGTTCTCTCCCGCTCTCTCTCGCTTTCTTTCGCTCTCTCTCGCTCTCTCCCGCTTTGTATCGCTCTCTTGCTCTCTCTCGCCCTCTTTCGCTGTCTCTCGCTCCCTCTTGCTCTCTGCCGCTCTCTCTCGCGTTCTCTCGCTCTCTCTCGTCTTCTCTCGCTCTCTCTGGTTTTTTTTGCTCTCTCGCTTTCTCACGCTGTTTCTCGCTTTCTTTCGCTCTCTCTCGCTCTCTCCCGCTTTGTATCGCTCTCTCTCGCTCTCTCTCGCCCTCTCTCGCTGTCTCTCGCTCCTTTGCTCTCTGCCGCTCTCTCTCGCGTTCTCTCGCTCTCTCTCGTCTTCTCTCGCTCTCTCTCGTCTTTTCTCGCTCTCTCTCGGTTTTTTTTGCTCTCTCTCGCTTTTTCACGCTGTTTCTCGCCTTCTCTCGTTCTCTCCCGCTCTCTCTCGTTCTCTCCCGTTCTCTTTCGTTCTCTCTCGCTCTCTCTCGTTTTCTCGCACTCTCCGCTCTCTATCGCTCTTTCTCGCGCTCTCTCGGCCTCTCGCTCTCTCTCGCTCCCTCTTGCTCTCTCCCGCTCTCTACCTCGGGTCCTCTCGCTCTCTCTTGTCTTCTCTCTCTCTCTCTCTTTCTCGTTCTCTCTCGCTCTCTTCCGCTCTCTATCGCTTTCTTTCGCTCTCTCTCGCCCTCTCTCGCTCTTTTTCGCTCTCTGTTGCTCTCTCCCTCTCTCTTGCGTTCTCTCGCTCTCTCGTCTTCTCTCGCTCTCTCTCGGTTTTTTTGCTCTCTCTCGCTTTTTCTCGCTTTTTCTCGAGAGGACGAAAGAAAACGATAGAGAGTGTAGAGGACGATAGGAAACGAGAGAAATAGTGAGAGAGCGATAGAAAGCGATAGAGAGCGAGAGAAAGAAAAAGAGTAGGTTTGAAAAGATTTACATATGTAAACTTGTAACGGTTTACCTTTCCCGACGCCGCGGATCGGCTCGCCGGTTCCAGGATTCGGGAGGAAGGGGGAGATTCAGACTCGCTTATTCCTTATTAACAATACTTTGGTTTATTCAAAAAGAAACAAGTAAACAAAATGATTGTTGGCATAAAGCCTAAATAGAGAAACTTATTGACTACTCGGTATAAACGAAATGTTTGTTGGCATAAAGCCCTAAATAGAGAAACTTATTGACTACTCGGTATAAACAAAATAAGGAGGCGTATAGCCTGTAGCGGTGTCCGGAAAAGATTTACAAATTACCCGGTATAACTTAGAGATACGGAGGCGTATATAGCAGGAAGAGACCGGAAACCGGGAAACCCGGCGTAACAACGAGAAACCCGTTGCCCGGCGTGTAGCAGGAAGAGACCGGAAACCGGGAAACCCGGCGTAACAACGAGAAACCCGTTGCCCGGCGTGTAGCAGGAAGAGACCGGAAACCGGGAAACCCGGCGTAACAACGAGAAACCCGTTGCCCGGCGTGTAGCAGGAAGAGACCGGAAACCGGGAAACCCGGCGTAATGACGAGAAACCCGTCACCCGGTGTATAGCAGGAAGAGACCGGAAACCGGGAAACCCGGCGTAACAACGAGAAACCCGTTGCCCGATACTAAAGGTAGGAGGCCAGAAACCGAGAAACCCGGCGTAACAACGAGAAGCCCGTTGCCTGGCTAGGAGGTCCGGAACAGGACTGGTGCCGGCTCATCCGTCGAGCCGGCTTATATACCCTGCCGGCGGTTCCCCCACTCTACCTCGAGGCTGTGGTGGGGGTAACGCCGGCGTCGTAGTGGGGCGCCTCTGGGGGTTGTAGTGGGGCGCCCCTGGGGTAGGGTGACCCGTGTATCAGTTATGATTTTGTGCTTAGGGGCGCCTTAGGCGCCATAGCCTCAAGTGGCGGGCGGGTGATCGGCCCGCGAGGCGTTAGTAACGGCTACGCCGTTACACTACCCCCTCCCTAGACGGCGGATCGCACGTGATCGGCCGAAACGGTCGAACCGTATCATCCACCGTCCAGTAGGGAAAGTGGCTCGGAACTTCCGAGTGGCGTGGGCGGTATGGCGCTGGAGGAATCACGGCGGCTGGTCCTGTCCTACGCCCCGATGGTTTCCTCGTCCTCTTCCTCGGATGCCGCCTTGAGGTCCTGCACATGGATGTGGCGGTGCCATCGTCCTCGGGCGTCCTTGAGGTCAACGATTACGGGGGATACGATCCTCCGGACAGTCATCGGTCCGCTGTACTTCGGGGCCAGCTTGGCGTTGAACGCGTTGGCCTTGCTGGACAGGGGGCGGTCGCGTTTCCAGACGCGTTCGCCCAGCTGCGGTCGCCAGTCTCGTCGCCGCAGGTTGTACGGCTTCTCTTGCCGCTGGAAGGCCCGGGCGAGGTGGATTCGGACCACCTTGTAGGCGTCCTCCAACTGGGTCTGGCGGGTGCTTGGTCCTGGTGCTGGTGCGGTTCCTGGTCGATCCTCTGGATGTGGGCGGGCGAGCTCTCGGCCATGCAGGATGTAGGCCGGAGTGTATCCGGTGGCCTCATGTCGGGCGGTGTTGATGGCGAACTGTAAGGCGGGGATTCGCTCGTCCCAGTCTTTGTGCCGCCGGCCTACGTACTGGCTGATCATTGTTTTAACCGTACGGTTCGCTCGCTCTACCGGATTGCATTGCGGAGTGTACACGGGGGATGTCCGATGTTGTATCCCGTAGGAAGCTAGCAAGGCCTTAATGCGTTGCGCGACGAACTGAGTCCCGTTATCGGATACCAGGGCGACCGGACACCCGTGCCGGTATATCAGGCGGTCGGTGAGTGCTCGGGCTACGGCTACGGCGGTGGCTTTTCTAAGCGGGACCATTTCGATCCACTTACTGAA